TGGGTTGGTCGATGGAAATGTTTACCGCCACGGGGTTACCGGTCTGTCACTCCCGAGGTTGGGCTGCCTTCCTGCAAAAATGGTCTTTGTCGGGTGATCCTCGACTTTGGCCCCTCTGACGAGCAAATCAGTAGTCTCTTTTTTTTTTTGGAGGTCAGGATAGAGGTCTTTATACTACCATGAAAGGATCGGTCATACATGGATTGGTGTGGTGGACACAGCACGACATCAGTACGGATTCTGGCTCGACATACGATGCGTTATCGTCCCGGGATTATCGAGACCAGGCATGTCGAACAGTGTCTTAGGGGCATGAGTTTTGACATGGCGTGTGGTTTTGACATGACGTGTGGTATCAACTGTGACGTGTCCTAGGGGCAAAATATACCTTATTAGTACGTGCCATTCTTTTTCATACGTTTTAACGAAAAATAATTGTATCACATTTAAGATTACATCAGCCTCTTTTAGTTCATTGTATCACATTTGAGTCCGTTGGCATTGAAGCTATTTAAAAAATCCCGTATATCTTAGAAACGCGAGATTGCTCTTTAACATAATTTTATTTTTTAATAATTAATTTAATTTGACATGGATAAGGGAGTCTAATTTTAAAGGGTCGTTTTAAAATGGTTCATTCCATCATTATTTTTTTTAATCTCAATCGGCCATTTATTGTATCAAATTAAGTTCATGATATTTAGTTTTTTATTCAAACAAAAAATACTTTATCAATGATAAGAAATCTAAATAGTCGATTCCAAATTGGTAGGATGTTTTAACCTTATTATTATTGTGTAATAGTGCCCTTTTAATTTAAGTTTACTTTTTTTTTCCCCGCAAAACAAATTCTAACAATCTTGACCTCGTGGCTAATAGCAACAACTTTTGACTTGGATTTGGAAAACGCGTGACGTTTATTTAATTCATCTCATCCATATTAAAATCCCAACAAGCTTCCAAGTCAATTTATACATCATATACACACATTGAAAGCTTCCAAATAGCTTCGAGACTACACATGGCTGAGTCAAATTCCAGCATACGACACAGTCTGTCACCCGCGTTTTGTTTGGCAGCCCCAAATCGTTGACTATTTTTGGTGAAGACTTAACGATCACAATCTCCTCTTCCATGAATCCTTCTTCCCTCACCAACTCTATATAACCACTGCAAGCATCCCATCATTAGCACGCAGTAAGCACTTTCTTCTTCTTCTTCTTCTTCTTCTTCTAGCTCATCAAGCATCTCCTCCTCCTCCTCCTCTGCAGCCCCTTCTGTTTCTGTGACGATGGCTGCAATGCTGAGAGCTGTAATGGCGATAGCGACGGTGGCAGCCATCTCTGCGATTGCCATGGGCGCCAACTACGACGTCGGCGGCCCCGCCGGCTCTTGGGATCTCGCCACTAACTACACGCAGTGGGTCTCCGGCAAGGCATTCCGCGTGGGTGACACACTGAGTGAGTCCTCTCCTTCCTCGTTTCCTCCCCTCTACATTGCTTATGATGTCAAAGTATATGATGTTATGCACATTCTCGCCGAGGTAATTAAGAAGTAGGATGCGAGGGAGTTGATAGCTTATGAATGCTCACAAGTAGAGTAGTTCTTGATCTTGGCATGCAATGGCAACCAACTCTTATAGTGTTCTCGCTCATATTATTCTCCTCAGTTGTTCTTTCCGTAACAATAGATTCTTTCATGTGATGAACATATATGATTAGATGATGATGGTCTCTTGGAACGTAATAAATGAAGCAATGAATGCAAGTAATGTTTATTGATAACTCCTCTAATCCATATTATTTAATAAATAGAGCTAAAAACTATAACATTTATAATTATTTACATTTAGTATATTTTAAGATTATATAATTAATCATGTTTATAGAAAAACTAATGATTGTGTACACTGGTTAGCTTATCAGTAGAGGAGTAAGCGTGTCAGCTTGCTTAGTTAGTAAACACTTTGATAGTTAAGCGTAAAAAAATAAACGTATTAAATTGATCGTTTAATCTAAACTTTATCTTTTATTAAAAATATAATTGTCTACAACTCAATATTTAATCAAAATCATATTCAATATTGTATATAATTAAATTCACATTTTTATTGCAACATAAATATCTTAAAAGCTATACTCCTTTTGAATGCAGCATTCAAGTATGCGTCGAGCCATGACGTGTTGGAGGTGTCGAAAGCCGCGTACAGCTCGTGCACGACGAGCAACCCCATATCGACGAGCACCGGCGGCAACACCGTCGTCACTCTCAACGG